GTTAATTAGGCTCAAAAGATTCGTCTCGCGGTTTCTAGGCGAGTTATGAAATTAGTTTTTTCATCCGTGTTTAAAAAACCCTTCCGACATCCGGTCAAACATCCAAGTTATGAAACATTGACGGAAGATAAGTTAAAAATCATTTTGATTAGCTCTTTCTATTCTTTATCTAAGACAACGACACTCATTTAGCCGCATCATGTTCTTTGCTACAGAATGTTTGTACCTACTTAGATATGACCTCTGAAACAATACTAATATTGCAAATTTAGATGAGTACATTTAATATATTACAACTTTAACTATAAATTATCTAACGGGTTTATATCTAACGGACCGTAACTTTACTTAAATACAAAATATTTGTAATTATCAGTTAGTACAAAATTATCTATAAATTAATCAGCGCGCGGTCTCGCTCCCCCAGAGCGCGACAGCGCTGGCCCACTGCGCTTCTCGCTCTCGTGCACGCCTAAAGCGATACCACGACCGGTCTCGTGCTCCCAAAGCGCGACGCCACGGGCCCACCAGGCTTTCTCTCTCTCACGCATGCCACGTCACCGGTCTCGCGCGCGCAAAGCGCGATGCCGCGTGCCCACGTCTCCCCCGTCGCGTCATAACCGGTCTCGCGATTTCATATTACGATACCGACATCGGTCTCACGCAACAAAAGTGCGAGAGCGCTGGCTCCGCCCGAGGTAGTCGCATTGATTTCTCCACGTGGCGCTCTCGCGCGTGGGAAAAGCGATACCGCTGCGGTCTCGCGTCTCGTTTGCGTTTGCGCGAGAGCGTCAGCTCAATTTCGGTATCGCTCTTTCGGATAACGATTTCGCCACGCTATCGCACTTTCTAGAAGCGAAGAGCGATACCGATGGTTTATTTCCGCAAATCGTTCGCTATCCGGCATATTTTTGCACAATCAATCGAAAAACAGTTTAATTTCAAAATATTTTCGTCCTGCTGCTTGGTTGAACCTGCTCTCTGTTGGCCGCGCTATTAATTTGGGCTAACCTTTCTACTCCCTCTGTCCTAAAAAAAGACAAAACCTAGGTTTTTGTGTCCAACGTTTTACTATCTGTCTTATATGAATTTTTTTTATAATTAGTATTTTCATTGCTGTTAGATGATAAAACATGATTAATACTCTATGCGTGACTTGTCTATTTAATTTTTTTCATATTTTTTTCAAATAAGACAGACAGTCAAACGTTGGATACGGAACCCAAGGTTTGTCTTTTTTTGGATGGTTCCAAAAAAGACAAACCATAGATTTCCGTGTCCAACGTTAAACTATCCGTTATATATGAAATTTTTTATAATTAGTATTTTCATTGTTGTTAGATAATAAAACATGATTAATATATTATGCGTGACTTGTCTTTTTAATTCTTTTTATAAATTTTTTAAATAAGATGGATGGTTAAACGTTGGACACGGAAACCCAGTTTTTTTTTTTTTGTTTTTGATGGTGTGAGTACACAGCACAACGGAATAAGCCATGTATGCGTCTCTCGCTCGGCTTTAATGCTGTCCAAACTTCATCTTCTACTCCGTCGTTTTGTTTCGTAAATATGCACTCCTAATACGCGATCGATCGTGATCCCACAGCCCGAGCCATCGTCGACGTCCACACCCCGAACATTCCGGCACGTACGCCCAGTCAGCATGCGCTCCGCCGAGGCCCATCGTATGGCTTTTTCCCTTACTAGAAAATAAAAAATAAATTTATAGATAAAACTTTTATATATGTGTCCTCGATAATTTAAAAGTCAATGCTGAAAAAAAACTAAGTTAAAAATATCTCAAAATCAATCTCAAAATTAAATTTAAAAATTTAAATTTGGTTTATTCTTTGACTGTTTAGACCATCTGACGGGAGCTCTAGTATTTTTTGGTTAGCTCACATGCGATACTCTAATACCATATATGGTAGTATGATTAGAACAGAATTAGCGTTTATAAATTAGCATCTCATGCAGTTAGATTGGAATTTCTTCTTGGAAATATTTTACATGACAAAAATCATCGTTCACGAAACTAGAAAAAATTTACTCGGTAATATTTGTATATGAATAAACAATTTCCATTTCTAATACATAATTAAAAACTATATACATATAAATTCTTCATATAGAAACTTTTTATATATAAACTTTTCGTATAAAAACTTTATACATATAGACTATTCGTATAGAAACTTTATACAAATAAACTTACAGACAAACATGTTGACATATAAACTTTTTCATACACATTTTTATATAGAACTTTATGTTGATGAATGTAAAACAAAAGAATATAAATATTAAGTATAATATTGGGCCTAAAATCAGCCAAGCCATTACTCTACACTAGTAAAAATGCATTTTTACAAACGGTTAGATCCAATTTTTGCGTGCGGTTGAGTTACCTGTATGTCCGAAAGTGTCTGCGAAAATCACTAATTTTTCATGCGGGTGGAGCAACAGCACACGAAAATCAGTTTTTTGCATGTGGGTGTTTATGTCGTCCGCACACAAAAATAAAAATCCGAAAAAAATAAAAATCCCTAAAAATTAATACACTAGCTCCCATTTGCACCCCGAAGTTGTCGAGCCAGCTGCCGAGCACATGAGGAAGCCCGAGTTAGCCGCCAGCCAGTGCATGAGAGAGAGAGGAACTCAGGATGAGGATGAAATAATGAGGAGAGGAGGTGAGAGAGAATCGAGAGAGGGTAATAAGTGAAAAATTTTGAAGTGTTGATAGGGAAAAGAAGGGGTAAATTAGACTTTAGGCTGATTCCTTAAGAGACCCGTATGCTCTTTAAGAGGTCCGCTTATAAAAATAGGTTTATTTTTGTATGCGGTCATTTAAGAGGTTTGTCTACGAGAATCGATTTTTGCATACGGGCCTCTTAAGAATCCGTATGTAGTGCATGTTGATTTTTGCAAACGCGACCAGTTACCGTCTACAATCAAAAGAGGGTGTCATCCAGAAAAATCATTTCTACAGTAGTGTTAGCTAGGAGCGCCCATGCCCATGTCCGGGGAAAAGCTGCTTAAAAACAAACAAGCAGTGTCATTAGCGCTGATTAAAGAGATTCTCCCGATTAGGAAAGCAGCATACTTATAATCCAAAATTAGGAAAGAGATCGTGCATTAGGAACTTCATTCCTGTTCTACTGAACAGTGTGTTGCTTTTTAAAAATATAAGTACAAGAAACTTGTTTAATTTTAAAAATTATATTAATCTTATTTTCAAGTTTTTTATATTTAATACTTAATTAGTCATGCTCTAATGAGTCACCATTTTTTTTTGTCATTGAGGTGTCTCATTTGAGTCTCAAAGAACAATTAAAAAAATTTCATTTTCACTCCCCAAAACTATTTCATGAAAACTCAAAGCGCTTAACGCCTGAACAATTTTTCAGCTCATTTTACACGGTTCACCTTACTCTCTAATGGTATTTGTCTTTTTTCCCCTCTTTGTATAAGCCGTATTTTGCATTCAAATTTGGTAGGATCATATGTTGGAAGCACTAAGACTCGTACTGATTTAACATCGAGGTTTTAAATTTCAAGCAAATGATCGTGGGAATTTTATTTTTTTAAAAAAAAACGGTGAGGTTTTAGATTTCATAGATTTAAGGCTCTCACGCTTACAGTCTGATATTTTAGAAAGGGAAATTTACGGTCCAAAAGTAGAATATATACTAAAAGCTCTTGTGCCTTCTTGCAACTACTGCCGGTCCTTTGTTCACAAAACCATGTCCTCAGCGTCTAAATCCTAAGCAATACTCTAAAAGTTCTTTTCAACTTGCGAATTATGGATTATCACATACAGCCTTCCGAAGCTCCTGAACAATATGACTTTAATTACAAAAGAACACTACTAAACTATCTTCTCTTAGTAAAATCTTTTGAAATCAACCCTTCAACTTTCTAATAGTTAATACACACGAAAAATTATCATGATTTTGATTTCATCTATCGTCTATCTATAAAGAACTGGGCTATGAGATGGGAAGCACGTATTTACCTCATTTATATGCTAATAAATCACCATGACTTTTGAACCGTGATTTCCTGATTGATAAAATAGTTACTCCATCTGGTCAGAAATATTTAGTATTTAAAATAAGATTTGGTTAAATTTTGAGATGTTAACGTCAATTTTATATTAAAACAAGTTTTTATGATATTATGATATATTTTCAAGGCAAATCCACTTAAACTGTTATATTTATTTTTAAATTAAGCATTTGATAAGTCATTGATAGTCAATATTTTCAAAGTTTAACCAATTCTTTTCTTTAACGTAAAGTAGTTATGAACGGAGGGAGTATACGCTATTGGAATTAGATTACATTTGAATACAAGAAGGGTTTTAAAACTATTTTTGAAATTTTATAAAACTGCTCGGAAGAGGATTTTGGTTCACATTCGCATTTGTAAAACATTGCGGATAACCATACATGAACATATTGTTGGTACGATCGCAACATCTAAACGTCTTGCAGTGATATGTAGAATCGCCAACAACCCTAATCTAGCAAAAGCTAGACCAAGATGAGTTTTGATAGATTAAACTGGCTAGCGGAGCTGATTTAGATAGAACAGTGGACAAGTACTCGTCTTGTAGGCAAAACGGAGGTTTACGGGACAAACCTATAAAGGATTTCGCACTCTCGCAACAAAGGCAGACGATTTACGGCGCAAATCGACAAAGATGGACGAATTAAAGTAGAGCTAACTGAAAAGTAGAAAGCAATATTGAAAAAAGCGATTCGATTGATTGATTGCAGTGTGATACATTGTTTGAACCAGCCTTGTCCCCTTAAATAGAGGTTGGTCTTACCCTCTATAGGCCCCTCCTCCACGTCTAACTCGGGGTAGAAACCAAAAAGAATCCGAAACATAGCCTCCCGAGTAAGGAATCCCGAGACCTGACGAAAACGGAGTCTGACTCGGACTCTACCGGTCAAACCGGCCACATGCCGCCGATCTGAACGGCCCTCTGACGGCGGTCTGACCGGCCCATACATGGTGGTCAGACCGGTCCTCCTGGAGGAAACCGGCAGAGTTCCCAAATCTTGACAATTTTTCCTATTTCAATCTTAGATGTCAAATTTTGGTGTAAACACATATACATCGATAAAATTTTTAAGAAATTTAATTATGACAAAAACATAGATTGTAATTATGACAAAAACACAGATTGTATATCACATAATTGTTGAATAAATAAACTATATACTACATATATAACGTTTGGATCAACTAATTAGTTATTATCTATTCATCCTAACTCTTAAATATTGATCACCAGAGCTTAATCTTGCAGCTCATGTTCTTGACCCTGATCTCCCCCTCGGTGCTGAGCCTGTCGAGCACCAGGTCGCACCGGATGGTCGGCGTCAGCTTCCCCGTCGTGATCGGCCCAACCTTCACCCGCACCGGCACCTCGCCGCGGAACACGAGCGGCAGCTCGCCGCCGCCGCCGACAACCTGCTGCATGGCCTCAGCCACGGCGCCCGCGCCCTCCAGCGTCGCGTCGCCCATCGCGACGTGCACCACCCCGGCGTCGCCGTGGCCCTGGTAGAACGCCGGCAGCGCGCCCTCCGACAGCCGGTGGCCGCCGTAGAACACGGCGAGGCTGGACCCTTCCTCGTACGAGATGTCGATGGCGCGGTTGGGGTTCTCGAACCGCACCGCGGCGTCGAAGCTGGCCCGCGCCGTCAGCTGCGGGTCGCCGTAGCCATACTCGCCGCCGTGGCCGTCGTAGTCCATGTCGAAGGCCTGCACCGTGAGCGACTCGATCGCGTACCGGGGCAGCCTCGGGTCCAGCGCCAGGTACAGCGCCCCGGCGGCGGCGGCGACGGCGGCCACCAGGACGAGCGCGGCGCAGGCGAGCCGGCAGCAGCAGCCGCGCTTCTTCTTCTTCTTCCTCTGCTGCTGCTGCCGCTTCGGTAATTTGGTTTCGTGATCCGCCGGCGGCGGCGGCGGCGGCGGCGTGTGTCCGGCCTCGAGGTCGATCTCGTCGTCTTGGAACGTCACGTGGTCGTGGAACGCCATGGCTTGCTAGCTAGTAACTCGGCGCGACACGCCGCGACGTACGTGCATTGCATGCATGTCTCGATCGGTGCTTAGATGTATGTAGGAAGTGGTTAAGTGCGCACGCGCGCTATGATCGAAGCCGAATCGGGAAGCAGGGTGTGTAGTGTGTAGTACGCTTTGGTTTCTTATCTCAATCAGAGACAACTCATGAGACTCACAAAACCATGAGAGTTGATTTTGTATCGCAGACACGTTCGGTTCGGCACTTCCAAACCAACTGATATATGATTGTTATAATTGCTGTCGTGCGAGGCAGGCAGGCATCCTCGAGTGATCCATTAATATTTGAATCGGCTGACTGAATTATGGATTTCATTAGGATAGTAACAGTTATCATGTTCTAGGATAATATTGCTTCTGCGATTGTACTGGGATGGTTTTCATGAATCTGCAATATGAGTTGTTTCATACTTGCACCTAACTGATAAAAAAAAGTTAAGGTATGAGCACTGGATCATCGTGCATGCTCATGCACAGATTTTAGCCAGGCATCCTTTATTTCCTATTCCCTCCGTTTTTAAATATTTGATACCATTAATTTTTAAAGTACATATTTGACTATTCGTATTATTTAAAAATTTATGAAATATGTAAAACTATATGTATAAATAAAAGTATATTTAATAATGAATCAAATGATAGGAAAAAAATTGATAATTACTTAAATTTTTTTAATAAAACGAACGGCCAAACATGTTTAAAAAAGTGAACACCTAAACGCCGTCAAAGATTTGAAAACAGAGGGAGTACTAGGTTTAAGGTGTGTTACCCAATACCAAGCAAAACAAGCTAGCCAAGCGGCCGGCTCGGACACCAAATCGTAAAGTTTAGGAAAGTAGCTGCATGCTTGTTAAAACAACAAGAGGATAAAGAGCCTAAATGAACCAGCAGGATTGTGAAAGGGGAGGCTCAAGCTATTTTCCAAGCCGCACGTTACCGACACATCCATGACATCCAGACACAATCCCACAATATACTGTACATGTTTTCTCAATGGCACAAGGTATGTTTCCCAGCCGGAAAATACCGGTAGTGAGAAGCGAAAGCAATGCATTCAGACATGGTCCTTAACGCCTGTCCCCAAGTTGACAACAACAATGAACGAAAAATTCACAACGTAACACATCCACCCAAGTTACAAGTTAGATTCAATACAAAACATCTAGGTACTTTGGGCTGCTTTATTTTCTCGTTCATTTGGCGGAGAAGGTGACAAAAAAAAAGAGCTCTTACAGAGGAATTGAAAACGATTTCTTCAACTTCTCCACCTCCAAATAAGCAGTGGAGTACGGAAGGAACTCCGAAAAATGGCTTTGCATCAAATCGTTGATTGCCACCGCGAGCTTTGGGATTTCCATGATCTCTTCATTGGTTAGCTTCCGAACAAACCTAGCTGGATTACCAGCCCAGAGCTCACCAGTTGGAATCCTCCTTCCAGGGGGCAGGACAGAGCCAGCTTCAAGGATTGAGTTGGTTTCAACCAATGAACCTTCCATGAGGATGGAATGCTGACCGATGATGCACTCAGGTTCAATAGTGCATGAGCGCAACAGACAGTATGCACCCACTGTCACATACCGGTCAACAAGGGTGTCAGCTGGTAGTCCTGCACATAATACATAACTTAGGAATGAGATTAACTGAAACCTTGGCTTATGGAAGTACCTAGCACAAATATTACAGGTTACATACATAAAAGGGCATGTACACAGAAGTGAAGTCCCAATTGTTCCATGGATACTAGCAACAAGTTTACTGCCAAAGGCATTTAGTCTTTGACATATTGCCAGACCAAATTAGCACAAAGGAAAAAAGAGGCACTAATATGCTATCCATTTTTCCTTAAGGCAAAAAAAAAAAAGGTAAGATACTATCCACCAGATTGGAAATTCCATGGTCAAATTGATAGTGGGTAAGTTCTAACATGAGATTTGACCTCTCACGACCCAAAATTGGAGTCAAAGATTACAAATAAGCACATGTGCTTAGAGTTGATCCTCATGCAGTTTGATTTAAGTGGCATCAAAATATCAAATGCAAACTTACCCCATAAGAACCAATGATTCAGAATCCAAGCTCAATACACAAAAATATTGTCATCCTATAGCAGGGATATTCAACTATGGTTGCGAAGAAGCCAATCAAAACCGGACTCAAGGAAGATTAGCTAGCAATTATCTATTTAGTATTGCAGCCAGTTGGTCCTTTGAGCATGGTGCAGAATATACCACACCCGACCTTTTGAAAAGTTTCACTAGAGCCGTATATGAACAGTCATGCCCTACAGTGCTAAAAACAAAAGGTGGACACAAAAAAGGATGCATCAGTATGTGCTGGAATCCTGGAACGGTATTAGAAGAAATGATTAGTAATGTTTGTATGATCCAATCAAGGGTCATCAAGCCAGTTTATAGTTGTAGTCAATCATATTTCAATGAACATAAAGCATTAATCAGCTATCCATTTACTAATGATATTTTTAATCATCATCAAATATGCGCATAAACACAATAGTTGGCAAATACGAACAGACATGAACATGCCCATGTAAGTATGTAACCACTGAACACTACTTATGTGCATATGGTTAAGAGCATTACTGTTAAGTGTTATTCCCAGCAAAAAAAAAAAGAGGAAGAAATAAGTATTATTTATGCCGTCTAACATCAGCATCCTCAGTTCCATAAACTGCCTCATGAACAACGAGTCAAAAGCCTCGAGTCCACGACCAATTAATTATGAAATTTACATATCTAATAACATGGTACCAATTAACTATAGTGAGCCAGCTGGGGTTATTGGCAATTTGGCATCCTGAGTTTTGGTCGGCCTTGGATTTTTTTGAATGTGTCTTTCACTTTGTGCCAGATAAACAAAAAGACAACACATATTGGCACAAATAGGAAAACGTTGCCTATAACTCATCCCAGTTCAAGTTCAATAGCACTAGAGTGCATTGCTTTTATACTCCAAAACAGAACACTATAGACAGTCCAGGCCAAGATTTTCAGGTTGCTAGTGGGGATAATAATTGGTAACATTAACTTAATACTTTAAGAAGACAGATACCATGTGTCCTCGTGCTTACAGATAAACAAGTATGCAAAAGCAAAGTTCTCAAACATATCACCACATCACAGGCTGACATGCCCCTATTTATACCAGTGAAGACAAGGGTAAAACATTCTCAAACATAAAAATAATAAATCAAAACTCAAAAAATTCAATGCTTTAGTTCTTTACAATACAGTTCTGTCAATTACCTTGTACAACCTCACAATCTAAGAAATTTCTTTATTATGTCAGCTAGAAACGCTGAACATCATGCAGAATCAAAATTTCAGGATCCATGAACTAACTATAAATAGCATTACAAGTTAGTAACAGGAGAATTCACTGTTCCAGCCACCCAACAGCAACTATGAACACAGTTAGACACAATCAGACAATAAAGCACACTGCTCTCCAGTTCCCCACACTTAGCAACTTTGAATTTGGACTGCGCTTACAAATTAACCAAATGTTGAACGCATGGAGGGCTGTTCCCCCACACCCCCACCAACCTTGCACTTGCAGTTATGGTAAAAAACCAAACATACAGGTACACTCAAATTACACAATTATACATGTCCCTAAATAGATACCGCTAACCAAGTCATCATTGACAAGGCCATGACACCACTCTAAGGTTAATCATTCATCTGAAGTGCAGGAATAATTAAGGTTCTCAGAAACAATGCCAGAATGCCAGAGTTCAAAGAACACCATGAACACAGAAGTACAGGGTGTTTCTCAACCCATGAATGCTATGTACTAGATTGCAAAGGCATCTACAATGTTGCAGCTAGCTGCACCCTTGTGATCTACTCCTATATATCAAATCACCATTCTTATCATGTCCAGCAGAAAAGCATCGCACACGAATTTGGTCAACTCTAAAGGACGCGCCGAGAAGATATCATCAAACGATTAGGTACGCCGGATTTCTCAATCCAAGCGAGAACATGTAAACGCATCGCAACTAATACTAGATCATTCAAGAACACCTCGGAAGCATTCAGACAATCACCTGGTGGTCAGATCTGGGCACTAGACGAGATTCCAGAAGAGGTGGGGGGATGAGGGATGGGAGGGTTGGGGATGGTGAGAGACCTGTGGGCGCCGACCAGGCGGCGTGGAGGACGCATCGCTCCTGGACGTTGGCGCAGAAGCCGAGGGTGATCTTGTTGAGGTCGCCGCGCAGCACGGCGCCGCTCCACACGGAGGCGCCGTCGTAGACGGTGACCTGCCCGGCCAGCACGGCCTCGGGGGCGACGTAGGCGTCGACGGCCACCTTGGGCATCCACTGCCCGAGCGGCACCAGCTGGCGCTGCCCGCGGTAGTCCCACCGCACCCGATCCGCGCCCGCCGCGGCGGCCGCGGCGGCGGAGGGGGGCGGCGGTGGGGGCGACGCCGCGGCGGGGGAAGGGGCCGATGCGGTGGCGGAGAGGAGGCGGCGGAGGGAGGGCGCCGCGGCCCGGTGGGAGAGGCGCGAGAGCGAGGCGGCGGCCATGGCGGTGGTCGGGGAGGTGTGCGGGGGTTGGGGGTAGTGGGCGCACGGTGTGATGGGTTCGTGCTGCCCCGAGAAGAAGAAGAAAGAAGACGAGTGTCTGGGCTGGGCTTTGGGTACAAATGGGCCTCGAAGTGAATTACACTTCAGTCCTGGACTTCAGGGTCTGAAAGATGGAAAACTCCAATTTTACTCGCTCGTATCACTGAACTGAAAACCAGCTATAACGACTCCTTTAACTTATAACCGGTGTAACAGGAGTAACTCTTAATATGATATTAATGGTGCTTTTTTTTGAACTTTATGGTATAATATTGACTTGTCTTTGTCTCAAGTGGCAGCAACATACCGCTTACGTGACACTAAAAACTCAAGACCCACATATCAGTAACAATTCTACCGTGAAAAATAAATCATCTACTCCTTCCATCTCAAAATATAAGAGATTTTAGATGGATGAGACGTTTTTGTCCACACTCATAGTACTAGAATGTGTCCAATCTATTTAAAATTCCTTATATTTTAGGGTGAAGTGAGTATAGGACTTATATGTTAGTCACATGAAAAATAAACAAATATAGTGAAACCCATATTTATTAGTGGGACCCACCTCACCCCTCTCTTATACTTTGATGGTGTGTTCGGCACCACAACTTCCCAACTCCTACCCACTTGCGTGTATATTTCACGAACGGCTAAATACTGTGTTTTTTAAACATATATATGTATTACAAAGATTGTTTTAAAAATATCATATTAATCCATTTTTCAAATTTATTTTAGTTAATACTTAAATTAATCCATGTGGTAATAAGGCTCTTCGTTTTTGCGTGTGTGGGAAGAAAGTTTCTAAAATCCACTTTCAAATGCAGCCTGAATCATGAATAGGTTCAATCAATAAAATAGAAAAATGTCTGATCATCTGATTTTGGGATAATATCTAATATAGTACAATCAATAGATTAAATATTATAAATTTTAAAAGTTAGTTTAAAAACATATTATAAGAAACTTACATATAAAAGCCTTTACAAATATGCACAAGGTAGAAGCTTGGAATGTGTGATAATTTATAATTCTTAAGAGATAAACTACAAGTTTTGGTAAGACATCCTGATCCGACATTTAACTTGGTAATAGAATATGACCCAAAAATTTAACTTGGTAACACATCCTGATCCAACATTCACTTTTACGCCCAAATATCTAAAAAAGAGTTGTTTAAAGAAATGGACCCTATCAGACTAATGAGAAACTCTGTGGGTTTACGGTTTTATCCATGAAGGTTCTTACACATGCACTTTCAATAGAAATGTAAGGTTGCATTTGGCAGCAGCATAAAGAGAAAAAACTCGCTCGTCTTTCTCGTGCACGCTTACTGAATTGCTAAACAATGTGTTTTTCTAAAAGAAATTTATAGAAAAGTTGTTTTTAAAAAATCATATTAATATTTTTTAAAATTTTAAAATAATTAATACTCCATCCGTCCTAAAATATAAGCATTTTTTTACCCTGATACGGTCTTCGAAATGCTACTTTGACCAACAATATCTATATAAAAGTGAGATGTTTTAAATAAGAAGAGTTGCATATTATGATAAATCTAGTAACATCAATTTTATATGATTGATATTTTTTATTTTTTTGCTATTAATGGTTAAAGTTAAAAATGTTTGATTTGTCACTGTGCTAAAAATATTTATATTTTGGGACGGAGGGAGTACTTAATTGATTGTACGTTTAGTAAGCCACCTCATTTTATATATCTTTTTAATTTTTTTCCTTTCAGGGATCGATACTGTTATGTGTCATGAGTGTGTTAAAAAGTATGCAGGTTTGTGGTGACTAAAATGCAGGTTTGTGGTGAGGGTACATGAGGACGCGCAAGGCCGTTCTAAATTTTTCTCAACAACCAACCTTTTCCGTAAACACCAATGGTGAGACGAGAGTTGTGGGTGTATGAATTTTACCATCAAGGTATTTGGTTTAAATACATGTGTGTATGACTTTTACCATCAAGGTTTAAAATACCCGTGAATACAAGACGTGTAGTTTCAATATGATTTTAGTAAGATGTTAGTCTTTCTGTTTAAGCACAGGGCATCTGTAGGCGTGTAGTGCACTATATAGTTTTGTGTGCTCTGTGCACGTATGCGACTCCGCTGCAATGGGATAACCTAGTTCTTCTTTAAGGATTCTGCAGGCTACTTGTACTGAAAGCACACAAAATTGATAGGTTTTTTTTCCCTGATGGAAACATTTCATAAGTTCGGGGAAGATAGTTTGTTGACCAAATGACCAATTCTCGATCCGCTCTAGTTTCCGTCTCTTTATGTTACAACTTGCAAAATCAGATAAAATCTGCTCCTCAACTTTAAAAGCTAAACAGGATGAAACCTCCCGTCCCTCTGACCAGAGTATTTGTGAGCATTTGTCGCACATAGGGTGTGTTTAGTTCACGTTAAAATTGAAAGTTTGATTCAAATTGGAACGATCTTTGTGTGTGTAGGAAAGTTTCGATACGATAGAAAAATTGAAAGTTCGAAGAAAAAGTTGGGAACTAAACCAGGGCATAGGTTGGACTCGCTTGGATTTTGAAGCATTAGAACGGAATCATCATCTCTTTCCCCTAGCTTGCTCTTCGGCAGAAATAATACAAGAGTCACACATACTGTTTCAAAAATGAAGCAGTAACACACATACAGCATTACAGAGATACTTAAGACGACAGTCCCATCCATTTGGTGGAGGATTCGACGGTGCAAGCGCACATCGCAAAACCACACATGCATCAATCATGCTACTTAAGTTCAGTTGGAACAGGGAGAAAAGCAGATTAAACGGAAATCAGGCAAGAACACAAACCAACAGGATAGTTCAAACTTGAGCCGATAAACCATTGCAGAGAGAATCAACCAATACAACACATAGTTATACAACCATGGCATGTCTTCCAAGCACACAGCAACAACGGTTCTACTAGCATAGAGTAGCAGGTAGAGGCAGTAATAAATTAATTAAGCACATAGAGAGTAGGGAAAAGGCAGATAATTAATTAAAGCTGCAGGAAATCAGGAGGGGCTTGGGTAGACTAGCTAGCCGGCGTAGATGTGGACGCCGATGGCGATGAGGAAGATGGTGATGAGGGCGAAGTAGATGACGGCGTGGACGAGGACGGCGACGCCGCTGGTGTGCATGGTGCCGAAGCCCACGATCCGGCCGTGCGCCGGCAGCTGGAACAGCAGCCCCGGCGTGAGCAGCACGAACAGCACCGTCGCGATCACCACCGGCCCCCAATCCGCCATCGCTTCTCCTCAATCTGCGCTCCAAATCCTCCCCCCTTCTCTCTCTCTCTCTAGCGCTATCGCTCTCGCTGTCTGAAGGACAAGTGATGGGTGTACTAAAATGAACTGCAGGTAGAGCAGTGACAAGTAACGTGGCGTTTAAGTAGCGAGAATAGCAACAGGGATACTACTAGTATACAGTAGAAGCGAACCAAACGGTCGGCGTGACGCGACGAGCTATGGGCCGTGTGGCTGGCGCGCGGGGCCAGTCGAAGCACTCTTGGCCCACGCGGCTCACCACCACGTGAGCAGGTGCCCGGCCTGGACCCCACCTGTCAGCGTGAGCGCAACGGTGTTTTCGGGCGGTGCGGGTGCCACGTGACGCTGCCCCGCTCGTTTCTCTCTCGGGCTACGTATTCTTATTCTTCACGCTCCTTTTTCCCTTTTTTTTTGTTTTTTTTCTTTTCTCTCCCCGCTTCGGTTCCGGCGATTCGCTCGCCGACTCCTACTCCACTCCCCTTTCCAAATCCCCACGATTCGAGGCGTCCGCGTCGCATTCCGCACGTCCTTTCTCCGTATGCCGTGGCTTGGGGGCATTGCACTGTTGCGGCTTGTCTCACGTGGGTGGCCGGTGAGATTGTTAGGCCCGTGCTTCGCGTCGTGTCACTACAGTACCACTGAGCTGAACACACGAGCGCGCGCGCGCGGCTTGGCTTTCGAGTCACCGGCCGCACACCGCTCGCCACCTGAAACGGGATTCGGGGCTTTTTCTCGATGCGTCACGTTCCATTCCATTGAAAGGGATCCGCCAACGGAAAGGGATTCGCGATCGATCGGGAGAGAAAAAAGAAAAAAGGAACGGCGTTTCTTCAGCGGGGAGGATGCTTCCCCATGTTTCACTACGGAAAGAATAAACCTTTCCTTGCATAAAGGAATAAGATCACTTCGACTCCCTCAACTGACCACGAAATCTAAATCGTATCCCTCAACCGCAATACCAGGAATCTTGACCCCCCCCAACTTACAAAACCGGTGCACTTTGACTCCCAAGGCAGTTTTGCGGATGGTTTTTGCCTACGTGGCACTTTGACCGCGTCAAATGTGCTGAGTCAGCTAGGCAGTTCGGAATAAATCCCCTCACTCGTGGTTGGTGTTGCCCATTTCTCTTGCCCATCTCTCACTCATCAACGGAGAGTAGTCGGCGGCGGAATCCGGCGAAGAGTAGGCGGCGGCGGCGGCGAGGGAGAGTAGGAGCGGTGATGGCGAGCTATCGGAGTGAAGGCTCGTTGACATCTTCCTGGCGCACATCCGCAGCTCCCATCCCTTACCGCGCTGGTCCATTTGAGTACCAGCCGGCGGTGCTGTGCAACTGCGGAGCAAAGGCGGCGAGGTGGATCTCCTGGAGCAGGGACAACCCCGGGCGGCGGTATTTCAAATGCTCCGATGCCAGGGTGAGTTTGTATTCGATTTGTATTTGGTGGTTCAGATTTGGATTTTAGGATTGATTTGTAGGTTTGAGATTGCAGAATGGTGGATGCGAGTTTTATAAGTGGTTTGAAGGGCCTACTAGCAGCTTTATTCGTGATTTGCTGAACGATTTGCGTGATGCTGTGTGGTCACTGAGGATGGAGAAGGAGCAACTTGAGGTGGCTGCTGCGGATGGCCTGGCGAAGGCAGCGGAAGCCAATGCATGCAGGCAAGAGATGGTTGTATTGAGGAAGACGGTTGCAGAGCAAGAGACAAAGATGGCAGTGCTAGAGGACATGAATAGGAGGCTGGAGAATGAGAGATGTGTAATCTTTTCTGGTTTGCTAGTAGTAGTTTGTGGCGTGTTTCTGTTAATGTTTGGCAAAAAATGAGTTATCTGTGTGTGTGAGACAGTTGTCATCACATTTAGCAATCTGTAATGTGTCAACGAGTATACCCGTAGACCGGATATAGAGGGTATTGAGGTACACTGGTACAAGGATCTACGTAGTACGACATCGAGCAATCAAAAGACAAGAATTATACTGGTTCAGGCCTCTTGATAGGTAATAGCCCTAATTTAGTTGATATGGGATTATATAGTGGAAAACACAGGTTACAAAGGAAAAGATGGAACTCGGCGGATTTTGCGAGATTGTAGTCGAGTTGATTCGACTAGCTCTCGTCGACTTGGCTCCTCGCAGGCTCCGGCTTCGTAGGCTGTGTGGGTTGTGTTGGCTCTGAGATTCGATGCTCTGTGCCCTCCCCGGGGGTCCCTTTTATACCGCGGGTTTGGTACTCTCCGAGTAGGACTCGAACATGTCAAACCCGGCACGATACGTTGGCGACCTAGTTCTTGTACGAGAAGGACTCTTCTCGTCTATTGATTTTGTGAAAGGTTTCCTTAGATCATAAAGGAAATATCCGCGTACGCGTGGGTATACCATGTCAATACGTAACGTATATCGAAGGGTAGAGGGTATGCCTGACCCGTAACCCTGACAGTAGCCCCCGACTTCTGCTCAAAATGAACTCGTGTGACCATTCGCGACTTCAGGTGTCGAGAACACTATCATTCCAGATGCGAGAACCGTGGAGATGACGTGTAGTCGAGCATGCCGTTTGAAGCCCAACGGTCACGAGTGAATTTTGAACTGAAGTCCCAAAATTGCCGCTCATAACGGACCTAGAAATTTCCGGCGGGGATTTCTCTTAGTTCCTTGGAATTCGCACCGTCGGTGGTGCGTCTATTTAAAGGGGTTTTGGGTGCGCATTTTGAAGTCTGCCAGCTTCGTCAAACGCGCACCGCCTGTAGCTTTCCTCGCCTTCTCCGCTACCAAAAAAGAGCCCTAGCCTCACCAACTTAAGTCCGTTTTCCGGCGATTTTCCAGCAGCGATGGATCTTGGCAAGTCAGCTTCCACCAGCGCGACCTTGAAGAAGCTCCGGGAGGATGGCGCCCTTCCTGGCCGCGAAAAGGCAGAGAGGGAAGCAGGAGGTACTAATCCTCAGCCCATCTTAGGTCGCATGGTTGCGATCGAAGATTATGTTGTCTGTGGGTTTCTCCCTCCACCCTCTGAATTTCTTTTGCTGGTTTTGAATTTCTATGGGCTTTCTCTTCTGCACTTGAACCCCAATTCCATTGCTTTCCTTAGTGTCTTTGTGCATCTTTGCGAGGCCTACATTGGGGTAGAGCCCTTTCTCGATCTGTTCCGCTTCTATTATGAGTTGCGCTGGATGGAATCCAATAGGGTGTCTGGCTGTGTCGGGTTCCGACTTCGTGATGGTATGAAGTCGCGTTATGTCCCCTTCCAGTGTCCCTCTTCTCGCAGCAAATGGCGGAACAGATGGTTTTATCTTAAAATCAAGGATTCACATCCGGTCCTCGTTGTTCTCGAGGAACAACCGGACAAGATTCCGGCCTGGACCGCCAAGCCCCCCTTGACCCCCTCTCCCAATCGTTTATCGACATCATCGATGATCTCCGAGAACGGGGTTTATCGGGATATGAAGTCGTTGCAGACTTCGTCGGTAGGCGAATCCAGCCGCTCCAGGCTCGGGCCCATCCAGCATATAACTATTCCGGGCCAGACGACGCGACCCGGGTTTCTCCTCGGGGTATCTTTCTCGCATTCATTCTGACATGCTTGTACTCGCGTTCCTCTTTGACTTACCAAAAATTGGTTCCTTCTTGACAGGTCTGAGCAGCGAAGTCATGGAGCGACGCATGGTCAGGTGATGATTAGCGGCCCGACCACGGCGCGCAACATCCCCGCGCCCCTTTGTGAAAGGGGAGCGGCGGAGCGCGATGAAGCAATCAATGTGAGTTTATTTGAATAGCTTCCCGCCTTCTCCGTTCGAAATCAACTTATGATCCGATTTAGTGTAGGCCCTTCCTTTGACTGATGTCTTCGGACCGCTCGCGGATCATCAGGTGGCGACTTCTCTGAAGGAGAAGGTCGTCGAGGAGGCGTCCGATGCTGCCACCACTAGTGGTGGCAAAGTTCCGACCAAGCCGAGGAAATTCTCGTCTGTGCTCGGACATCGCCGCAAGGCGAAGACTCCCTTGGTAATTTTCACCTTGTCATTAGGCTATGTAGTGAGGAAGGTTTGTTCTCACTTTATGTCGGCTGTTTTGTAGGCTTCCGACGCGTCTCCTCCGCCTGCACGACGTCAACGCATTGTGACGATCCGCGAGAAGTAAGTAAAGAAACTTTTAGACTCTCGTGTCTTCCGTTTGAGTGGAGTTTTGATCCGTGGAAGCTGATAGGGAGGCGCGGTCGAAGGTTGGTCAGGCCAAGTCCGGGGGAACCTCTAGCGCGTCCCCCGTCATGGCGTCTACAGATGTCGTGCCCGTGGTCGGGAGTCGGGAGGCGACGCCGAGCGGCCCCGTCAGCGATCCCGCTGGGGGTCGTGGTCCGCCAGAGGCCATCCTTACCTGGGAGGAGCTCCAAGCCGAGATGGGGCGCCTTCTCGAAGCCGGTGCTCGCGACATTGGCCGCGAGGTCTCGGAGGTGAGGGTGGAGACGGCGGCGGCCAACGCGCGTGCCGAGCGCTTGGTGCGGGAACTGGCCGAAGCTCGCGAGGACCTCACGAAGATGAGGGAGCTGGTGGCCGGCAACGAGCGCCAGCGCAAAGGGCTCGAGGACCGCATGTCGGAACTCGGGGATAACCTCTCCGAGATCCGTGGTTCACTGCGGGTCACTTACACCGGTCTCCACCAGCTTGCCGAGGAGTGCGACGTCAAGTCGACGATCCCGGCGAACCCCGACGAGTTCTTGTTGACCTCTTCTCTTGCGGAGCTGGCGACGGCGATGGGGGAGATTCCCTCCAAGCACGCGGCCAGGATCGCGGAGGAGACGTCCAACGGTATCTATACCGGGGCTTGTCACGTCCTTGCATGCGTGAAGTTGTCGCGTCCTGAACTCGATCTGCGCGAGATCTTGGATTAGGGAGCGGCAAGCGACATGCACAAGGAGGTGATGGAAGAAGTCGGTGACCTGGGGGAGTCTGTCCTCCCCCTTTTTGAAGAGTAGGACTCCTTGTATTTTTTATGACTTGTAAACCTTAAACTCTGGTTGCCTTCGTGCGTATGATTACCATCCTTGTCCAAAGTTGTAACGCCCCGATTTTCGTTCGGGATTAAAAATTATTTAATAATGCATTTTCTAGAAATTAAATAAAAGTTTAAGCAATTTAATCAAGTGAAATAATGGGAGAATTAAAATTTTCCCTTAAAAATCTTTGGCCGAGGATATTTTGTAATATTCTTTGTGCCCTAAATATTCTCTGAAATTTTCCCGTGAATTTTCGGAGCTCAATAAATAATTTTAATAGCAAAAAGATCATTTAATCAATTATTTAAAAAGAAAACAAAATAAACTTCCCCTTCCTCCCTTTCGGGCTCGGCCCAAAATCCTTCCCCTCCCGCGGCCCGGCTTGCCTCCGCTTTTTTGCGCAAGTCTGCTTTTCCTCCCTCCCGGCCTCCCCTCTCACTCAGGCCGACAGGTGGGACCCGTGGACCCCACCTGTCACCCCCAACCTCCAGCCCGGGCCTGCAACTGCCATGGCCGCCGAGCCGCCCACGTCGCCGCCCCTCCCCGCGCGTCTCCCGATTCCAGCGCGCGTGTGGGCGCGGTCCACCCCACGTCATCCCCTTCCTCCACCATTCCCCCCACTTCTCCCCTCCAAAACCGGCGCCAAACTGCCCCCACTCGCCCACGTCGCCGGAACCCACCCCGCCGGCCGTTGCCGCCCAAATCCGCCTCGCCCCGGCTCTCTCTCACCTTCCCGAGCCTATAAAAGGGATCCTCGTGCTCCCCTCCTCCGTTTCCCCCTCCTCCCCGAGCCCGTCGCACCTTCCCCCGCTTTCCCCACGCGCTCCCCGGCGAACTCCAGCCGCGCCGCGCCACCGCTCCCGTTCACCCCGCACTGCGGCGTCGCCCTCCCCGGCACCGCAGCCGCCGTGCGCACCCCGTCCACCGCTCCATTTCCCCTCCCCACATTCGAAACGCCGCCGCCACGTTCACCATCTCTCTCCACCACCATTGCCGCCTCCAGCCGCGCCGCATCGCCTCTCTGGTCCACCTCGCGCTGCGCCGTCGCCTTCCCTAGCACCGCAGCCATCGTGCGCAGCGCGGCATCCACTCCATCTCCCTCTTCCACCCCCGAAGTACTGCTTCCACCGTGCATCCCGAGCCACCTCCACCGTCGCCTTAGCCGCCGCCGCGTCGCTCTGTCTTCACCTCTCGCCTCGCAGCGCCGTGTAGCACCTCGGTCACCGTTGTTCATCGCCGGAAACCCACCGGAACGTGGTATCTCTCGGTCGCCGGTGAGCCCCACCATTCCTCTCCTCTCCGGCGTGGTATTCTGGCCGCTCCGGTCGCCTATTTCCCTCCCTAACCGCTCCAATATTTTCCCCAGGTTTTGCCGGCCCTCAGCCGCGGCTCCGCCGTGGTCGGGCGTCGTCGGAACACCGTTCCCGTCGCCTCCCGTGCCGACCACCGCCATCCTTTCCGCCGCCGGTCGCCTCCCCGTGGTCGTCTCGCCGTCGCCGCCCTCGGTGAGCACTCCCCTCCCCTTCCTTCTTTCTCCCCTTGGCCGGCCGCCTCCCATGCTTGCGCGCGTCGTGCCGCCGCCGGTGGCCGCCCGGCCTGTGTGCCGCCGTCGCTTCGGTCCCGGCCGCCGCCGCCGCTAGCCTTGTGTGCGCGCTGGCCATGCCGCGCCGCCCGGCCGATCTGGACCGTCGGGTGCGCGCCCGCGTGGCCGATCGCCGCCGTGGACTCGGTCCACGGTGGGCCGTGCCACTGACGTGTGGGGCCCGCTCCCTTTGTGGACGTGGTCCGCGCCTCACCCCTTGCTGACGCCAGCAGCCCCCTTTTTCCTTTGTAAAAATATTTAATAATTGCGCAATAATTCGGTAATAATTCTAGAAATTCATTTAAATGGCTCAAAACTTCTAAAATTCATATCTAATTCATTCGAACTCCGAATTGAGCCATTCAACTTGCAAAATTCATCTAAAATTGAGCTCTACATGTTTGTTTACTT